ATCTCATGCCTTGTTTTATTTCATGGACTTTAAAAAAGAAGAAGATATAATTATGAAAAAGAAAAGTCTCCCTTCAATTATATTAAAACCATGCTTGTATAAAAAGAGGTAAAATTTCATTATATTGTTGAATAATTTTTATGTATATATATAAAATAAAATTAAAAATTTTTCTCTACATAAATAATTTATACCCCTTTATTATACACAAGAAATTGTTCCATATTGTATGTCGATATATTACCATTTTTTAAGTATATATCAAACATTGTTCGGATGATTAATCTATGTGCCTGCTTAAACAATGTGCTATTCTTCAAAACACACTGCTCCATTGGGCACAAATTATAAGCATAAGTAAAAGATGTTTACAATATCAATTTTATGTATTATTTGTAACAGATGTTAGAAATATGTAATTATTTATAAGAAAATTATTTATTTTATTTCTTAATTGCATATATATTCAATGAATTGTTTTGCTACATACAATATATTGTCAATTTATATATACATAATTCACAAATTACATCTATGAACAAATGCAACTATTTCTGAAAAAAAGATCTTTGATAACAAAATTTCGATAACAAAACTAGTTTATTTTTATCAAAATTTGTGCCAAATCTGCGAAATTCAATTTTTCATACTACTTAAAAATCTCATTTGAATTAAACTTTTTTAAAATTTATTAATAATTATATATATATATAGAATTTATAGATCTACTTCTATCTGACTCATATGTATACCATCCAAGATGTCTTCCCACTCATCTTTTAAATCTTCTGCTCTTTGCAATATTAAAAGCTGGAATTTATCATGAATAATACAAACACAAAATCGAATATTTGTATTAATATGTTATTGGTTATATAATGACTTACTTTCGCTGCAGTGATAATTTGCATGACCATTTTATTACTTAAATATGGAATTTTTTCTTTTATCTCTCTTGCATCAGCTTTCGCTATAGATTGTAAATTTTTATAGCCAGCCTTGTACAATTGACGAGCTCTACCCTATGATAAAATATGTGTATAAAAATAGATGAACATATACATCCAATTTTATTTTTAAATATAATTTAAAACAGAAATATAATATAGAATAACTAAAATAGTAATTAATTCGTACTATTTTAACTGAAGGTAGTTCCATCAATGTTTCTAACTCCGATGGACAACAATAAGATAATCTTTTACTGAATGTATTCAACATCTCAGTAAATGCCCAAAACTCAGGTAGTTCCTATAAAATAATTTAAATATATAAGACGTAATGAATTTTCTTTTCTTTTATATTTTGATTGTCAAAATAGTTTTGTAATAAATCATTTGTTTACCTGGCAAAATCTTACTACAGAAGATGCAAACATTGAGACTGCATTTAAAAGATTTTGTATAACACCTCTATTAACTTGATATTTCTCGGCGACAGAATAAACTGAATGATGATTCCACAATTCATGTACTATTAAGGTCACATAAAATCTGTGTACCACTCTCTTCTCGACAGACTACAATGAAAAAATTTTTAAAAATAAAGCATGATATATTGAAACGTAATTTAAATTATTTAACAAATAACCGACCTTAGGCTTTATACCGTCACGTAATTTATTTGCTGCAGCTTCTGTTATTCCCAAAAGCCTAGCTATTTGCATTTGACTTTCACTCAAGTCCATTATCTTAAATAACAATGCAAGGCATATATAATACTTGTAATATATATTAATATAATACTTGTAATGTATATATTTTAATATATAAAATCGTATAAAAAATATCTTTACCACATTATAATATATATTGCCAATGGGAGTAATTTGAGATATACTGTCATAAGGTGTAACAAGATATAAGAGATGAAGATTATCAATTAAGATTAAATGCTTTTGAGCTGTTTTTAAATCCTCATATAATGTATATGCAGTTTTTAAATCAATTGGTCCTATATAATGAATAAATTATAAAAATATTATAAAATGTTATAAAGATACAAATATGCAGAATTAATGAAAATCTATTGCTCTCACCTTTCATTGCAGCTTGTCCCAACTCACAAAGTTGAAACTCGGTTTCGCTTGTAAAAGCGACCGTTTTTATTCCTTTTTTGACTGATGATTTTTCCATGTACATTGGTTCTTGAGATGGAATGACAACAGTTACATTAGGATTACCAATATTACAACCCTTACTTTTTACTTTTATCACACTACATTTTAATAACGCCGTTATTGTTTCGTCTGTGATTGTTTTCATATTAACGCCTATTCTATCTTGTTGAATATTAAGCAAAGTTGCAGCTGTCAATTTATGCAATTCAGATCTAGTTGTTGCCATATTTAATTGTATTGCACTTAGAATCAAATTGTTGATCCCCCTATCGTTTTCTATATGTAAACTACTCAGCGATTCGTCCATTTGAGAAGTCAAGAGATCTTTCACCTGTGAAATAAATGATTAGTTCTTAAGAGATGAATAATTTAAATTAATTACATAATTTCAAATATTTTTTACAAAAAATTTTACTTTAGTGATCTCAGATCTTTTGCAAATAAGTATACTTTCTCCTAAAACTCCCATACCAGCACGACCAGCCCTGCCAATCATTTGTTTATATCTACTTAAATTCAAGAACTGATTGCCAATATAAGGACTACGTAGTATTACCTAATAAAAGATAATATTATGAGCAACTGTAATAATTATATTAGCTGCGTCTCATATTATTTTGTTGAATTACCCTTCTTGCTGGCAAATTGACACCAGCCGCTAAAGTTGATGTGCAACATATTACACATAGAGTACCTTCTCTAAAGGCATCTTCTAACAAGCGTCGTTCTTCGGATGTAAGACCAGAATGATGATAAGCTACACCATATTTGACAGTTTTGCGCAAAATAGGGCATAAATCTTCTTCAGCTTTAAGCGCATTTAACAAAGTTCTTTTTTTTTCCACTTTGTAATTACTTAAACTTCTAAAACGATAATTTTGGCGTTTATTATACAATGATGTGTTAATACAGTTTTTTTTATAAATATTATTTAAAATAAATACAACAGAGAAACAATGTGTCTTACTTAGGCAAAACTTTAACTAATAATAAAGCCACATTTTCGCAATTTTTACGACTTGAGCAGAATATAAGGCACGAATCGTTTGGTACTACTTCCATTACCAAACCCCCAATTCTATCTGGATCTAGCATTGCTACATCATCTGAGTACTTTATAACAGAATTATTAATTTATTATTTAATATATTATCTGTGTTATACTCAAAAACCCCCCCCTCATGAAATAAAATATAATTAAATCACCTTATAATCGTTACTGCCCATATGTACTAATAATTCTTCATTACTCAAATTGACTACCCAGGTATCATTCTCACATTTCACATATTCTGTTATTTCAACTGGTCGAAAATTCTGGGAATATGTGTCTGCATTGAGAAATTGTGCAATTTCCTTTAAATTACCTATTGTTGCACTCATTCCAATCAAACGTATTGTATCTGTAAAAAATTGTTCAACTCTTCAAAAAAATAATTTTTAGGAAATATTTACATTTCCTATCTAATTTCGTTTAAATATCTGTATATAATTACCACTAAAGAACATTATCTTTGTAAGAAGTCCTTCTAATGTGGCACCTCTTCCTCCAGACTCTCCAAGTAAATGTAACTCATCAATGACTATAATACCAATCTAAAATATTTTTTATTATATTTTTATTCAACTATATATAATTGTGGTAATTAACTAATAATATTTTAGCTGACCTCAGCTAAGCGTTTTGTTTCTATTAAACTATTTACAAGTCCTAAAGCTTTCTCTATAGTACAAATGTAGATACTATTTTTTCTCCGCCGTTTGATTGGTGGATAACGTCCTTTCGTACCAGCATATTCCTCGATTAGAAAACCTAATTTTAATGCTAATATAGCCATTGATTGAACCTATATGTATATGTAAATTTATGAGCTCAATTAATTACATATACTAAATCTTAGAAAAATGTTTTCTTCTGTATGTTAATTTAAAGTATCATACCTTTTCCTGCACCAAAGCCACATATGGGAGTATAAAAATTGTATTTTTGTTGTTGCATATAATTTCCCTGAACATTAATATCTCCGCAACTAAAGTTTTGCCACCACTTGTTGGTAGAGCATAAATTAAATTCTTTTTAGTTCTAATAGCTAACTTTAAACATTCATCTTGCCATTCTGTGTCATAAAATGATTAAATAAATTTATATTTTCATAGAAATATATTTAAACTTTATCGATTTATATAATTGCAACTTACGATATAACTCATAAATGCCCTTAATTTCTTGAATCAATTTTTTCACAATATGTGGTAAATCATAAAATAAAGAACACTTTGTAGAACTAATATTTTCATTTTTTGCCGTTTCTGATTTTAATTCAACATTCCTTAAACGCAGTTGTTTTCTTGGTTTTTTATATTCATCTAAATTTTTAGATTTGGATTTTAAAATTGGTGATTTATGAACATCTTCTTTAACACGGCTATCTTCCAAAGTATCATCATCAAAATTTGTAATATATAAATATGATATATTAGCCAATCTATCTTGGCATGATATATTTGTATTCGCTTCACTTAAAGATGTCTTTTCAATGCTTTGATCATTGACATTAGATGATTCAGAGTTTGTGTCTTCTTTACCAAATGTATCAAATACATCAAAACTATTAATATTACTACAATCCTTTAAAACAATTTCTTTTTCATCCTGTAATTCAAACTGAGCAAATACTTGATTCATTAATGACTCATCTTGCCATTTATTTATGTTGGGAGATACATTTTGTGATACTTTTGATGGAATAGTTGGACCGGTTTTAGTATTTTGCATCTGCCCTTTAAAAACTTGTGTCGCTGAGACATTGTGTTCCTGAGAAGAATCGTACGTTTCGGAGCAACTATGCAGAGCAAATATGCTATTGTCAGTTTCAATATTACACAATAATGTGTTATCTAACAACAACAGAGATTCAACAGCGTGTGGTGATTTTTGCCTCCTGTCATTTTCCAAAAATATTTTGTTGTTTTCTTTATTATCTGATACTTCCATTTGACAGAACAGTTTTAAAAGAGCAAATCTTCACTCAATTAAATAATCTGCACTTCATAAATAGCGAAAAATTTTATCAAAGAATAGTTATTATTTAATTCAATCCTACACTACAGCGCGAACCAATACAAACCGCCAAATCTCAATACCGATTATTCAAGTCTTGTAGCGATGTGTATCGTATCCAAAACCGTAACGCCGTAACCTCTCTTACGATCATATGATTTACATGTCTCAACAATAACGCAAGCAGAGTTTAGCGCCGAACGCATTTTATTAATAGGATAAAATGCCGAAAAAGAAAACAGGTCAGAGAAAGAAAGCCGAGAAGCAAAAGCTTCGGCAAAAAGAAATCAGAGCTGCTAAGGAGCAAATAGACTTAGCAAAATTTCCGTGCAACTCTGTAATGGTAAGTTCTCGTCGATATTATAACATATGTATGACAAAAATACTGTACATCTGATATAACTAATACATTCACGCTATACAGGAATGTGACAAATGTAATAAAAAGCAAAAGAGTCGAGCTTTCTGTTACTTTTGTCAAAGTGTGCAACGTTTGCCCATGTGTGCACATTGTGGCAAGATCAAGTGCATGTTAAAAACAGGAGACTGTGTAGTACGCCATCCTGGCATCTTCACCACAGGATTGGGAATGGTGGCAAGTATATCCACATTTTTGTCAAATTATAAAAGTATTTCCTTGAGCATAGCAATAGTGCTATATAATTTTACAATCAATTGTTTTAGGGAGCCATATGTGATTTTTGCGAAGCTTGGGTTTGCCATGGAAGACGTTGTCTCACCAGTCATGCTTGCATTTGTCCATTGACGGATGCCATTTGTCAGGAATGCGAGAGAGGAGTTTGGGATCATGGTGGAAGGATATTCAAGTGCTCATTCTGCGATTGCTTTTTATGTGAAGATGATCAATTTGAGCATCAAGCATCTTGCCAAGTACTGGAAGCAGAAAATTTTAAATGTAATAACTGCAATAAGAAGTATTGCACTTTTCATTTTGAATTTAATTCGAATTACAGACACACACACACACACACACATATATGTCAATCTTGTAATCGTTTGGGACAATATTCCTGTCTCAGATGTAAAACATGTTATTGTGAAGATCATGTTCGTAGAAAAGGTTTTAAATATGAGAAGAATAAGGCTATTCCATGCCCAAAATGCAGTTATGAGACATCCCAAACTAAGGATTTGAGCATGTCCAGTAAGCATTGATCAGAAATTGCTTTAAATAAAGATGCATTATAAGTTTATTTAATTTATTGTGTGCTTTTTTTTATAGCAAGGAGCCACAAATTTGGTAGGCAAAATCAAGGTGGTCCATCTGAATCTGATGATGAAAATGGATACGATTATGGTAAATTAAGATTTTAATTCTAATGAAGGTTTTAAGAGTTCAAAGTTCAATATATTTTGTGTATATTTTTGTATATATTTGAGAACATATTTGTGCCTCTGTGATAGGAAATCAAGATTCTTGTTTTGGAACTAATACTTATACCAATAATGAAGATGATGATGACGACGACGACGATGATGATGAGGATGATGATGATGATTACGATGATGACGAAGATGATGATGATGAAGATGGAGATGACGATGATAAATCATCGAGTGCAGATGAAGAACAAAAAGATACTAACGTACAACACGCTTCAAATAGTAATAAAAATAAAGCTTAACACATATATTTAAAGATATATAAAATAACAATAATTGAGAATAAATTGTTAATTATCAGGAAATTTAATAAAAGTAGTCAGGAAAAAAATATGAATATTCTTGAAAAGAGAATTCAAGGATTTTGTAAAATAAAAATTAATTTACAATTTCTTAGTATTAATACATTTAATTCATATGATATTTAAGTTTTATAGCCCTTCAAACAGTAATATATCAAAAATATAATTAGCATTAGCTAAACAATTAAACAAATATAATGTTGGATATAATGAGAAAATAATCATGAAGAAATAAACATTACATTTATTGTACATGAAATTTACGCAGCTTAAATAAAAATTTCATACAATCATACATATACAATATAACATGTATACATTTAAATATGGGTTATACACGTAATGTAGTATATTCAGATGGGAATGCAAAAGTATGAGAACCAAGAGCACTAACACTAGGTAACAATCCAGCATTTGGTATAATGTTCCAGGATAATGTTAATGTTATATTTTTATTTCCCCTGCAAAAACAAAATATATGCATACAGACGATAGATTTAACATTTACAAATTTATTAATGAAAATTAAAAAATTTTATTTATGCAATAATATTTTCATATCTTCATAATTATTCATATTTGATAAACTTTATATATTTTACCTGAGGCCTTTGCCATCATCCCAGAAATAATACTTTGTATTCATATTCTTAAAATCAAGTGCGGCATTGTCTCCACGAAGCACTATCTTATCCCATACTACTACCTATCAATAAAAATAAGACATTTATATAAAAGAAATTCATGCAGAGTACATATTGCAAATTAATAAATCTGAGAACAAACCTGATTAAACTCATTATTTGATGTCTGATATTCTGCTGTGAGGTATAAGAATAATTGCTTGACATTCCAATTAAATAATGGAGTAAGATGTAAAAAGTTTTGTAAGGTAAATAATTAGAAATATATAAAAATTTAACACAATACTGTTTTATAGAATAAATTTATCTCTCTTTATCAAAACTATATATTTGCATTTTTCATGAATATAAGCAATTGAAAAATATATAGTTCAGATAGATTTTGGTAAATTACATATTTGATTTTAAATATATAAATGTTAGAGATATTTGTATAACGTTATATGTAAAGGATATCAGTTTGTAAATCAAAAGTTAAATAACCCAGATCATTCTTTTCCCTCGATGCACTATAATCTGCTACATTCTTTCTGCAAAACAAGACACGCTTATTATAGCGATTGCATTATTGTACAAGATTACAAGTAGCAAATATCATTTTTCGGCATATTGAAACATAGATAAGTTCTGCATGTAATGATGTTTACATTCAAATCGTGCAGAATTTGTATTCTTGTAAAGCACGAGATACGAATGTAATATGGATCTCCTGATAGAAATGTGTACATAATTTGATTGAGATACGATAAGATTATGACATATTTATGGTACTTACACAACAACTTTAACCGTATTTAGCGTCGCATTCGCTCTATAATCGATAAATACTGTCGAGAGAAAACAGCAAAATGTGAGGCAAGCCGACACACTTAACGTATATGCTAAAATAGCATTTCCACGTGTTAGAACTGTATGCATTATTATATCTTGCTATCGATTATTTGTAGCGTTTCTGGCAAATTAAAGCAACTTAATTGATACAATTGTGTTTCAATTTCTAACCAACACACATTGTTTTCCCTATCGGAACCATCGGAACTCACGAAGTCTCAACGTCATCAGTTCAACGTGACAGATACACCGGTTTGCGTTCGTAAATAAATCTATAAAAAACGAGCGAATAACAGTAGTTGAAAAGAACAGACCTAACTATAATGTTCCTAAATGCGTTCATAAAAGCTCGTTTAGGAATAAAGCATAGAATATATCTAAATGACGCGTATATGTAATTTTTTTTTTTAATGTAATTAAATATTTTTCAATGAGAGAAAAATTGTACAAAATATATATGTGTTTTTGTAAAATTAGACTTTATAAAGTCAAGAAAGTTGCACTATATCGTCATTCTGCCAACATTGAGAGAAATATCATTGAACATCACATAACGGATTGTCGGCCCTGAAAGCGAAGTGGACCGTATCTAGACAGAGGGTCGTGCGGCCCGGTTATTTGGACACGTTTGTGGTTATCAAGTTTGACAATAAACATCGGGCCGTGTTGTATGACTTGGAGTTAACGATTCGTCAGCATGGGTGAGTCAAAGACCGATGTTTCTTGATATATATTCATACCACGCCTAGCTTTTTGTACCGCAAAAATAAATATGACACGTCGTGCGCGCGTTATACTACCTGCTACCGAATTATCCTTACGACCGTATATGTATGCGAAATTCTGATGATATATTCCTTTGCAGGTGGGTTGCTCAGTTACTTTCGTAATCTACTCGGTAGTCGTGAGATGCGCATTCTGATTCTTGGTCTGGACGGTGCCGGCAAGACTACGATTTTGTACAGGTTTGCATGACAGTCATATCTAAGTGACAAGCTGTCATTTGTGTTTATGTGATGTATGTCTATCACTAAATCGTTTTGACATGGATTATCTTTATATCCAAAAGCTATTAGAGATTAAATCTAAATATTACCTCTTAGTTATTAGTTGTATATTGTATATGATATAGAAATATTATATATTTTGTATACAGTTCTACGTTAATCAAGTATGTTTTTATTGCATTGATAAGTTAGACATGTATTTGATAAAATTTGAACTGTGGAATATATCGAAAGTAAAAAATTGTTTAACTGATCGTTTATATATATTAGGTTGCAGGTAGGCGAAGTAGTAACTACCATACCAACCATAGGGTTCAACGTAGAACAAGTTACTTACAAAAATTTAAAGTTCCAAGTATGGGATCTAGGTGGTCAGACGAGTATACGGTATGTTTATAGACTTGTGTGTATACAAACTTGTTTTTCTTCAAATTTAAAATTATGTATTTACCTATAAATTTCGGTTATACTGTATGTATATATCAGTTTTTGTATATTTCACAAATTTTTTTATTTTAGACCATACTGGAGGTGTTACTATTCAAATACAGATGCGATAATTTATGTGGTAGATTCAGCAGATAGAGATAGAATAGGCATATCAAAAGATGAATTAATTCTCATGTTACAAGTAAGTAACATTTTTGTGAATGATCTTGTGTATTCCAATTTTAAAATAACAAAGAATACAGTCATTTCTTAAAAATATTATACGATTCAAAATGTATCTTATAAATAGGAAGAAGAACTACAAGGTGCAATCTTGGTGGTATTAGCGAACAAACAGGATATGGCAGGATGCCTTAGTGTCGCAGAAGTCCATCAAGCACTTGGATTGGACGCTCTTAAAAATAGAACCTTTCAAATATTTAAGACTTCCGCGACGAAGGGCGAAGGGCTCGATCAAGCAATGGACTGGTTGTCAAATGCGCTGCAGAGTAGAAAATGATTAATATTACATCAGTGTAATTCATATTTGAGCCTTACAAGGGGACTAGTCATAAGACTGTCACTTTGAACGTGTCACTGGATTACCACTAGACACGATGTTCTGTTTATTTATTGTAATTATTCTATTTTAAATATCTTTTGCAATTTATACAGCAAGAGTATTCGCAAAATCACTGTATTTTCCATAATGCTGAGTGCGCAATAAGGGAATTATATTTTATCTTTCTATGTGTGATTTAAAATATAACTCTTTAGAGAATTCTTTCCACTTAGATTCTTTGTACTAATAGGTATCTTGTATGTTACTGCTACGTGTAACAGTTAGTTAATAATTTGTTTAAAATAATCGTCCTATTTATTTAATCTCAATGATAAATAAACTCGATATAAAATTGTAAATTATGTATTTGTAATGAGAACACGCGTATTGGTAACAAATAAAATATACAACTACAAATACCAAACAGAATCGAGATAAACTTTTGAAAAAAATTTGATTATGTAAAACAAGAATAATTCAATACAAATCATATCAATGCATAACATACTATTATCTTGATGTATCTCAAATTGTGAAATACTTTTTCCAAACATGATAGTACAGATAAAACGAATACACAATGCAACTCAATGTGGATGGGCACAAAAAAAAACATAATATCATATTAACATTTATAAAAATTATTACGCAACATAAGTAAAATAAATTTAATATTATCGTAAAGGAATCACGTTAGTATTAAAAGCAATACCATCTTCAAGGATATATCCAATATAAGTTTCATTTTCCGAGTTACATTCTGGTTCTATTTAATTGAAATACTTTAGTTTTATAATTTTGTAACAAATATGCCAAATACTAAATTATGGTTGGGGTGATATATTTTCCACAATACATATTTATTATATTTACTGAGAGTATATATATAGCATATTGAATTTTGATAATTTATATATTGAAAAATATATAACAGATACTATATACTTATACTATATTATTTCATAATAAAAGTTTAAAATATTGACTTATGTAAATAATAATAATTTTGTTATTGTAGAAAGAGTATTATGTAGTACAGTAGCTTTTATAAAATATGAACCTACCTATAAGTTGCGTGCGATTATTTTTTTACTACCATTCCGGGATACCAAACCTTTGGATTCGTTTCGCTTTCGCAGCCATATCCATTCGAGATTTTACCCTCATATAAAATATTGGACAGTCACGGCTGAAATCATATATTTGAAAATAATTATTTTGGGACATATATCATTGGTGTTCTTAGATATATATGTATTGAATTCAATACTCAATTATATCTTCATCTTTAGAAAGAGAGTATAGTATTACAAATTAATACAACTAACTTAGAACATATAACTTCTTGATGGAGACTTCCTTGACATCTTTGACATTCCGTCCACAATCTGGAGAACTTCTCTTCTAATTTCTGTTGGGCTTGCAATTCGTTGTGAAACAATTCGGCCTCTTGAGATTCGCAATGCTTGCACACTGCCTTGTCTTCTTTATCTGATGGTAAAACGGCCTTACAGCCCAAACAAGTCTCCTTTTTACGTGTGAAGGCCGCGAGAGCTCCAACTTGCGAAGTAGCAATGCATCTTGTGCGCGTATGATCACCTTTTAGGAGAAGCGACTCTGCCTTCTCACCAAGAATGGGTTCAAAGATACGTATAAGAGGTTTCGCCAATTGATTTTCTAGATAATAAGTTGTGTCTATCGGGATGCTATTCTGCAACGCGTAAACAGGATCTTCCGCCTTTTGGTATGCTGGAGTGCCTTTAGTTGCGCTTGTAAATACATACGCCACTCTGTCGCCAAGTTTTGGCGCATTTCCGGCATCTCGCTTTTTCATTTTTGCCGCTAATTCGACGTGCGCTTGCTTTGCCGCGTAATCAGTCTTCGTCAGTTCTTTCGTAATGACTAATTGAGAAAGATCGATACGATTACATAGGAGATCGTTTATGATTTGTTTAGCATAATCGACGGCGGCATGTGGATTCCTATAACATTATCCATTTATATTACAATCTATATAGAATAAGTATACATGACTTAAGGGAAGCATAAAATGATGTACCTTTCAATAAGTAATATTTGCAAACAGGTATTCATCATGTTTGCGACTAATGGACAATTATCTCTGCGCACCGTTTCGAGACCTTTGCAGTCCATTTTATCATATTTATCAGGTTTCGTGAAGTACAGGCCAGCATAACGTTTTTTATTAATCAAGAGATATGGGAAGTATACTTTTTCAAATTCCAGTTTTATAGGTTTAATAAATTTGGATGTAACATAATCGGCCGCTTCTTTACCAAGTTTCATTGCATCCTCTATAGATTTTGTGCCAAACTTTACCATAACAGAATCAGTGTCGCCATATATGACTATTGCATCGTTCTCGTATCCATTTTCTATTCGAAAGTGCTCCTCCACTTCTTGCTTCGTTTGTTCTATCATAGTTCGTCCATAAGCGGTAACGCTCTGCAATTACATTTGTTATGAATATTTTACATTTTCTATAATAAATATTGCAATGTTCTCCTTTTGTTAAATGTATTATTTGTAAATATTGACAACTTACTGCAGATATTTCTAAACATGGCAATTTTCCCATTTGTGCACCTGTGAAACCATACACCGAATTTGCTGATACCTTTAAAGCATACTGTCTACCATCGAGTACTTTTTGCTTCAATGGGTCAGTTTCTTGTTTTAATTCTGTCTTTGCTTTTTTTCTAGCTGCCAATAAATTTTCCAAAATTTCAGGAAGAATTCCTTTTCTTACAGTGCTCTTGATGAACAATGAATTACTAGGAGTTGCAGTGATTTGATCCTCCTCAATATTGAGCTCTCTCTTTTTACTAACAGTTAATAATGTTGTATAACATAAATTGTGTGCCATGATAATGCTGGGATACAAAGAACTGAAATCTAAAGTAGCTATTGGATCATTGTAGTAGCCACGTTTAGGTTCAATGACAGTAGCTCCTTCAAATTGCTCATCAGTAGCACGGCCTTGATGTACTGGCATCAAATAATCCTTCTCTCGGGTCTGATAATAAATGCGTTCAATTAGACAATAATATTAAAGCAATTATTTCTTTCAGCAATTGTGAATTTATTACCTTGCGTAAAAGTTGCGAAACAACTTTGATTTGTTGTCCACGGGTCAATAAGCTAGAAATGGATACTCCTGTGACTCTTGCCATTTCCATATAAATAATTATACACATTAGTTTGTCCAATAATTTGAGAGGCAAAAATGCATCTTTCAAA